TATGAATTATCTTAAGACACAAAATTCGTTTAACATTTACAACACAATAGGAAAAAGTGTCACAGAGAGAAAAAAAAAAATGTAGGTTGTATAAAAATAGCCTATTAGCTATTTTTATTCATCTTGTCAAAATACAAAATTCGTTTGACATTTTTCTGTTAACAGTATAAGTGTTGCAGAGAAAAATAAATAAATACGACATCTGTCATTTAAAATTATAGACTAAGCAAAATATAAACAAAACCGAGTTGAACGTCCTTCAAGGACAGTGCATCCACACTTTGCTCCATCCTTATTCTGCTCTGTCACTCATCGACAACCTGCCTGTTCTGTCTGAGGGCCGTATATTACACAGGTACAGCCTGCTCTGAGCAAAGTTATGCACATGCTGCACAGACCACACAAATAAAACGCGTGACGCAGAAAGCATGCGTGCAGTGCGTGCATAACAGTCCGAGTGCAGGCTGTACCGGTGGTCAATAAGAATAAAGAGCAGATATGTTGTTCTGAATGGACGTCAGGAACGGGATATTGTTAGACCGCCCGCTCCTGTTCAAATTACACCAGAGTTACCGACCGCTACCACGTTTTATTCGGGAATTTAATCCCGCGGCGCAAAAAAATCTGGTCGGGTCTCGCGGTTCCAGCGGGAATGCGGGTTGAAGCGACTCCAATAACATGATATGTATCCCCTGGAATGCGAATGAATGCCAAAAAACGTGTATTTTACCCACCGAACGCATTTTTAACTGGGGACCCCTCGAAACGCCATTGGGCTAGTTTTGAGATTGGGCGGGTTTTCTTGTGAAAACCTGGCAACCCTGTCTGACTCGACGAATCGTTCCGACTCGATTTCTTTAAACCATTTAGCTCAAAAATCACCTTGATGCTTAACATATTACACAAACCGCACCAATTCTATATTACCTAATCTTGTAACACTAATCAACCTTCTACAGTTTTGTATTTTTTAATAAAAACCTTATATGGGAACATATAAGCGAATATTACTCAAATGAAAACATCGGAAAAAATTATTAGCCAATTGCACTGCCAAATGAATCTTGAGTTAATTTGAATTTAAAAAAGCTCAATATAACGGAAACTTACATGAAATGTGTATTTAGTCATTAAGACATAACAAGCACTCATATAGGCCTAAATGTTAGTCTGTAAAATGTCTGTTAGTTGGTTGCTAACTTGCTAGTAAAGTCAGGTGACAGGGCAATATCTCAAGATCGGTTTACCAAGCCAATTTCAGCATGTTGAGCTAATAGCTGACAAAATAGCTAATAGCTAACCATGCTAAGTACATTTTTTAATGATTATGATTGACGTTATGCCTATTTAAGAATTGCAAAGCATATCTTGCCAGCATTACTGTTAATGTATATTTGATTGATTAGTATTAAACAGGGCAGCATTCTGTTTCTACACTCACTGTTGTGCATTTAATGATTTTTTATTTATTTTTTTACTGTATTTTGAAGAATGAGGCGGTCATATACGGTGTAGGAATTGCCATAATCACAGGGATGATATTCCTTTTCCTTTCAAACATGTATCCTGAAATAAACAATCAGTTTGCCCACAAAAACTTACCGGCAAATTAACAGCTACAATAGTTCCTCCCAACGTTTTGGCAATCGAATTTTCCAGGATTCTCCACTAGATGGCAGAATTTACAAAGCAACATATCATTCAAATAAAAGAGATACAAGCCAATAATAAACAAAAAAAAAAACAACAGTTTCATCCAATGACAAAATCTTGCTTTAAATAGCTATTAAAAGATGTATTACAACATTTTATTAATTTATTATAATTTATACATAACTTCCACAAGTTACAAGTTGACCGCCAACACAATAACTATCGTGACGTTACGTGACGTGACGTGACATGTGGCCAAGTATGGTGACCCATAGACATGTGGCCAAGTATGGGGACCCATACTTGGAATTAGTGCTCTGCATTTAACCCATCCTTAGTGCACACACACAGCAGTGAACACACACACACCGTGAACACACACCCGGAGCAGTGGGCAGCCATTTATGCTGCTGCGCCCGGGGAGCAGTTGGGGGTTCGGTGCCTTGCTCAAGGGCACCTCAGTCGTGGTATTGAAGGTGGGAGAGAGCGCTGTACATTCACTCCCCCCACCTACAATCCCTGCCGGTACGAGACTTGAACCTGCAACCTTTGGGTTACGAGTCCGACTCTCTAACCATTAGGCCACGACTTCCCACATCACATCCTTTTTCCAAAGTGAACCTAGTAAATAAGAACAAAACCCCCATTGTAAAGCTGCCAAGATGTTCAACTGCAACAGAGACATGGTTGAAACACTTCTGAAACAATTCTCTTAGAGAATTCAGTCATACAAATTTACCTTTGAAACCAAAATCAAGTTGACTTAAAAGCAGAACGAAATGCAGCAAAGTCTTGTAGAACTACACAGTAGTAAGCCAATAGATTTTAAAGATAGAAGAGGATGATAATGAAAGACTTCATCTATTTTCCTTACTTAGTACCTTAATAGTAGAACTTAAAGACAGTAGAGTTTTATATCCGTCTTTGTTTGTTTTGAAGAGCAGCTCCAGTTCCTGTTCAGTTTTGTCGAGTTTAATTTTTAAAGACAGAATTGCTGAAAACCAGAGAAAGCCTTATTGAAAGGTTTGTTCAGGTGATTTTTTTGTCGTCATGATCCTAAGACATAGTACCAGTAGAGATCACATACAATGATTTCATCATAATGCCATATACAATGCTTCCTTAATTACACTGTAATCAGAAGTGAATGAACTAGTGATCTTTTCTCAATGTCTCTAAGAGTCAGACACCACAAATACAAAGTCAGCCACAGAAAAAATCACTTATAAAAAAGCATCAAGGTTCTTATCAAAATAAGTCCATGAAAAGCTCTCAGGCAAGTCACGAATTCACGTCATTGTAATTAAACTAAAAGAAATGTGTTATTGTAATTTCAATAACCTGCAACCAAATAAATGGCACATATCGAAGTAAGCATTTGAAAAGTCAGCATCTACACCTACAATCACGGCCCGATGAACAATCATTCATGTCAGAAAATCTTCCTTTAACATGCCAGGATCCTTGTGAAACATTCACACAACAACACCTCACTATTTCTAGAAGACTGACGATCAGATTGGTTTTAAAGCTACTCCTAAAAATCAGCTGGAACTGCTTGTGTCAAGCACTTAAAACAATGATCGCTTAAAAAAACACACACCTTTCACTCCCTTCATGTGCAAAATATAAAAGGCAAATAAATTATAAAGTGGCCAATTCTTCCATCTTTAAGCCTCTGAGAGTGCTTCGGTACGTCTCTTTCCTCTCGCTATGAATCCGGACACACCACAAATGGAAAAACCATGAAACAATCAGTACAGTTTCTGCATCACCTCACAAGTGCCTACTCACAACTCTTCACCAAGAGCTCAAATGAAAACTGCTCCAGGGTTCTCTCGTCTCCCTCATTTCAACATGGCTGCCAGGAATCAAAGCCACCAATCAGAGGCCTGATCAGCTTCCTGAAGACTGGGCGTGAGAGGAAGAGTGCGAGTCGTCCTCCTCCTCTGTGCTGTGGTCTGCGGCGGGCCCCAGAGGGGGGCCGGATGCGAGGGAGCTGACGCCGTTGGATGTGCTGATGGAGCTGTGCTGGATGGCCTCATTCTGTGGGCTGCTGGGAACAGACATCTCCCCGCAGCTGTCCTCCTTCTCCAGCTCTGAAACACACAGCCACCGAGACAACAGACATTAGCAGCTCTCAACCGCTTTCACACACAATGCAGTCTGTTTGATTATTGTCTAAAGTAGTGTTGGGGTAAACGTGAAAAAAAATCAAATGACAATAGAAATGTTTAAAATAGTACACTAATATTTGTATATTTGCCCAAATGTGCAGTACACAACCAGAGCTCGCCTTGTCAAGTGCTTAACTTGACCTTACAGTATAATGAATTATCCAGAAGTGATACAGAAAATTATTCAAAATAAAATTGTATATAAAAATACAATAAAAACAGTATCATTGTGAAATATTATATACTGTATATATATATATTTTTTTAAAGAGACATTTGTACACTACCGGTCAAAAGTTGGGAATAATTACCGGTCAAATAATTTTTTGTAATGTTTTTCAAAGAAGTATCTTATGTTTGCCAAGGCTGTATTTATTTGATCGAAAATACAATAAAATGAGTAATAATGTGAAATATTATTAGATTTTTAAATAAATACATTTTAAGATGCTGTGATCGAAGCTGTATTTTCAGCATCATTACTCCAGTCTTCAGTGTCACATGATCCTCCAGAAATCAGTCTAATATGCTGCTTTACTGCTCAAGGAATATTTCTGATTATTACCGATGTTGAAAACTGTTGTGCAGCTAAATAGTTTTTGGGGAAATTGGCACATTTTATTTTATTTTTTCAGGATTCTTTGATGAATAGAACAGAAAATTCAAAAGAACTGCATTTATTTGAAAGAAATAATGTCTTTACAGTCACTTTTGATGAATTGAATACATCCTTAACATGGATACACTGCAAAAAATGCTTTTCTAGCTTAGATTTTTTTGTCTTGTTTCCAGCCAAAATATCTAAACAATTTTCAGAAAAACAAGTCGAATTTAAGTGCGTTTTTGCTTGAAACAAGCAAAATAATCTGCCAATGGGGTAAGCAAAATAATCTTATTTCAAACAGAAATAATTTTTTTTTTTCTGAAAACAAGACAATAATTTTTACTTGTCTAGAAAATCCTTCTTGATTTAGGAATTTTTAGATATTTTGTCTGGAAACAAGACAACAAAATCTAAGCTAGAAAAGCATTTTTTGCAGTGTAGTCCTGCTAAGTGTTGTGCCACTGTAGTGATGTGAAAGCAACTGGTACACAGGCCTTTCAGACTGTCGGCATGAACATCAGTGTGAAATTATGTCTCCCTGTGTGCAAACACAAGACTCACATCAGGACTTCAACGCACCTCTCAGCACCAGTCATGTGCCACTTTGACCTCCATATGAAATGAGTTTTAGAAAGCATCACATAAGTGCACTTTGGCAAGAGTGATCAATAAACAGTAAAAACAAAGTAAACAAAAGTAGTAACATGACATGCACAGTTTTTTTTTTTTTTACGCAATCAACACTGTTGTACAACTTATTGTACCTAGATATCCACAGGATAGTACTTGGTACAAGTATTTTGGGATTTTCACACCAATACCACCCATATAAAGATACATCATGTGAACTGTAATCACTGGCTGTGCTACAAAAAGGTCAGGAGTGTCGTAATAATACTGGTATTGATATTCCAAAAAAAATCTTATTTTTATTCTGTTAATACTACACATACAATAATATTGTAAATAATCCATTGCATCTCTGGTTGATACTCCAACATTGTAGGTGGCAGTATTGCACCTTAATTCAACATGAACTTGACAATTCAACAAATTACAAATTATTTTTTTTTTATGGAATATTGCAGTATTTATTATAAATGATTTATCCATGAACAATTTTTTTTTTTATTCACGTGCCCTCTTAATCTTTACTCAAAATAACTTCCCCTTCCTCTTGCAGTTACATTCTTTTCCCTCTTCTTTTCTCTAATGATGTGTTTATTTATTTTTGGTAAAATTTCTAAAGTTACCGCAATAATACTGTTATTGTGAATTAGCGATGCCACAATGAGGAAATTTGACACTCAGGATCTGTAGCGCTTTGATCAATCTTTCCCTTTCTTTGAACAAAACAAACGCTTAAAAACACAACAACAATAAAACAGTACAACGACAAACTAACTTATATTAAATATAGAACTTATAGCAACAAAACAAGACAGGTGACATCTTAAGACCCCACACACGACATGCGGACAACAATATAT